GAGGAGCTGTTCGCTCGCCCAACAGAGCTGTGTCTGACCTGCCAGGGAAGAGCAGTCTTACTCCTTACTCCCAGGGACTGTGTGCAGGGAAGTGGGCTGGGCCCTCAGCGTGCTGTTGTAATAAAAGGTTTCATACCAGGAGGAGCCTGTTTGGTCACAGGTCTCCTGTCCTACTCACTGCTCTGTGGCTTTTCCTTCTATCTGTCAGTCACCCCTCCCACGGTCTGCCTATCTGACCGTGGAAGATTTTATCCCGTTCTCCTGCATCGCCCGTCTCTGCATTTGTTGGCTGCCACTTGTTGTCATTTTTTGGTGATTTATTGAGTGTGTTTGCTTTTGCTTTTTGTTTCTCTAGTTCTTCTGAGTATCACTTGAGTGCCGCCAGGACTGGGTGACAGGGAAGTAGAGTGAGCTTTGGGGACGGGGGTAGAATGATACTGTGGAAGGAGCCAGCCCTGGCTTCGTCCTCTGGTCTTTAACCCAGTGGAGAGAGCGACCCTTGTCCTTGGTGCCGCCGGTCTGAGGAGCAGTTGTCCCAAGGAGGCTGTTCTTACCGGGGACTGCAGTGTGTGAAATTATTAGTATCAGAGAAAACCCAGAAATTTCTGGGAAGCATGAGGGAATTCACGATATAGAGGCCTCTGTTCTTGGTGGCCCTGGATGCTGTAATTCTCTTTTTTTTTTTTTTAAGATTTTATTTATTTATTTGAGAGAGAGAATGAGCATGGGAAGGGGCAGAGGGAGAAGCAGACTCCCTGCTGAGCTTAGAGCCCGACACAGGGCTCGATCTGAGGACCCTGAGATCATGACCTAGTGGAAGTCGGACACTTAACCGACTGAACCACCCAGGGGGCTCTGGATGCTGTAATTCTTACGTGGTATTAAAGCTTCTTACACTCATGCCTACTTTAAGTGGACTGCAAGCTATAAGCTCATAAAGCCCCTTGGAGTTGCTGTCTTAAGGCCCTGTACCCCGCTCGAACATAGCAAAGCAGATGCTTAGGACGTATTTGTTGTACTTGTTGAACAAATGACCTCAATAAGATATTAATGGGATCCAGCAAATTCCATGTTAGGCACCTTCATGGGCTCTTCTCCCCCCTTTTGGTGCTTTACAACAGCTGGCCCCAATGTTCCCAGTGTCTTCCTTGCCCTTTCTCTGGAGACTTGAGGTTGGGTCAGTGGTGTTGGGGACAGCTCCAAGTCTGATGGTGAGGACACGGTTTGGGGACAGTCCCAAATTGGTGGTTTTAAAAGATGGCTGTACATTTTCTGACTGTCCTTTCATCAAAAGGTAGGGTCTTTGTCCCCTTCCCCCGGGATTGGGGCAGAATTGTGACTGCTTCAACCAGTAGAGGGTGGCAGAATTGAGACCATGTGACATTCAAGGATGGGTAGTAAAAGGTAGGGAAGCTTCTGCCTTGTCAACTAGGAAAATTGTCCTTCTGGATCCCTCCATCACCGTGTGAGAAATCCAGCCATCCTGAAGCTGCCACGCTACGAGGCACCCGGATTGCACGGGAAAGCCACACGCAGGTGCCCCCGCCGCCAGAGCCAGCCGAGTCAGGCCCTCACACCACCCCAGCCCAGGCTTCCCTCATGGGAGTGAAGACCCCTCCAGATGACTCCGACTGCCAGGCATCAGATCACCCTCAGCCGTTGGAGGCTTCCTGGCCGTGTCCTCAACATCACGGAGCAGACACAAGCCAGCTCTGCTACGCCCCAGATGCCTGACCTACAGCATCCGTGTGTATAATCAAGTGGTTCATGCCACTGCGTCTTGGGATGGTTATTACGCAGCAGTAGTAACTGGGACACCAGGAGTCCGGTTTGCTGGCTTCCGACTTCTGGCCTAAATTTATTGTCTCTCCCGTGAAGGGAAACTTTCCTGGGTCCTAAACTTTCAGTTTTCCTCTCCATCAGGAAGTACATGCAAGCAAGAAAACAGGAAAAAAAAAAGGAGGAAGGAAGGAAAGAAGGGAGGGGAATAAAAGACTATGTCTTGGCTGAGAAACGCCATCAGCACTCGCTGTGATCACCTGCATTGGACTTCTTGTCAGATTTGCACTGAGCACGATCTCTTTGGTTTATTTCCTAAATCCGCTGGCTTTGTTCCATATTTTGCTGTAACAAAAAGAATCACGTAGGTTCTGCCTGGTGTAAGATTTGCCTACTCGGTGACACACTCAGGCTTGCCAGCTGACCTTGATAGGACAGAACCAGACCCACGGGCTCCTCATTGCTCTGACGCCAGGGGGCTCCAGGAGTCCTCCATTGACGTTCTCTAGGAAGGGTCTCTGGACCCCCACTTAAAACAAGGAAAGCCTTGAACAGTTCTCGCCAGCTTCCTACGTGCTGGGGAGATTGGTCTCTACCTTGGGAGACACCGGGTCTCTGGGAAATGAACAGGGTGCCAAAAGCGTGTAGAGGGTGGTCCCAGTGTCCAGTGAGGGAGCAGCACAGCCTCCTGGGCGCACAGGGGGCAGAAGAGGTTGATTCTAGAGCCTGGGGGCTCACTCCTACAGCCCTCAATGAGAGTTGAATTTGGTTGAATTAGTTTGGAAAGGCCAGAATTCTGCGAAGCAGGCCAGGGGTGTCTTCAGTCTTGGGCAAGTCCTGGTCCTACTGGTCCTACTGTTTCCTAACTGCATAGCTCGGACAGGTCGCTTACAGGTCACTCTTTCTTAGAGCCACCACCCCGATAGTGGGAGGATTAAACGGGACAGTGCGCCCAGCCCAGTGCCTGGCATTTGGAAAGTTCTCGGTCAGTGGTAGCCGTTGACATGATTGCCTAAGACCTCCAGTAGTTTGTTGTCGAGCCTTGTGACAGCCTGTTCCTCCGAAGACTGGACATTCCTCGCCGTAGCCCGAGCACCTAACACGGCAACCCGCTGTTTACATTTCTCTCGGCTCCTAGCTTGTGAGTTCTTTGAGGGCAGGAGCCGTGTCTTGGCGCCACACTAGCTTATAGCAAAGAAGGAAATAAGTATTGTTTAAAAGGGTAAGTGTGTTGATAGCTCCTAATAGCCAAATGACTATGCAGGAGGGACGGAAGATGTCAAAACTTAACCTAATGCCCGTGTTAAGGCGAGTACTTAGTTGCTCATGTGTGGAGGCTGGCTCGTGTTAGCTTTCCTGAGAGCGGGGAAGGGGTGAGAAGAGGCAGGCTGGGCTCTGGGAAAGGAGGTAGAAGCTGTGGGGCGGGGGGCAGGTGGAAGTTGGGGTCAGAAGTGCCCTGGGTGGTGTCAGGAGATGTAATTGGCTTTTGTTCTTCTTCACGGTGGGGGCGGGGCGGGCATGCAGGATACAGGCGTCCCTGAGGAACTCTGATGGCCTCTCAGAGTTGTAAGACCCTTCTTAAGGGGTAGGTCTCATTTTTGAGAGAGAAACCCACTATGGGTTTGCTAACAGAGCAAACCCCATGGGCCAGTCCTTGGCACAGTAGATGGGTAGATCGTGACACTAGGGCCCATGCTCTCGTGCAGTCCCTTCCACACTGACTCTCCACTTGGCCACGTAACTGGCTTGGCCAGCGGGACATCCATAAACTTTATGGGAGCAGAGAGTGAGGGGGAAAAGGATATAGAGACTTCAGCAAACTTCTTGACCAGGAACCCCCTTAACAGCTTCTGGGGAGACCCATGGGACGCCCCAGTGCCAGTGTGCTCCCAAGGCCAGTGAGCCGCCCCAGTTCGCTAGGAGAGCACGGTTGTACGGAGGAAGAGGAGGGATGGGGCACAGAAAGGTGGGCTAGGGCAGTGTATCGAGGCCTTAATGGTCCTGGGCTTTTCTCCTGAGGCACTAGGGACCTGCTAAGGCAGCACAATGCTTGGCGCTCCACAAGAGGAATGTGGACAGGATTAGAAAGATGGATGAGAAGCTCGATTGGGGGAACCCTATCCTGAGCAGGAGACGATGAGGGCCTGACCTGGCGAAGGCAGTGAAAGGAGCGAAATAAGTGGATGTGAAGAACACTGCGGAGGGGGAATCCACGGGACCTGGGGGAGGTGGCGGAGGGGAAGTGAAGGGAGAGCCTCAGATGTTTGACATTGTGGAGCTGTGTGACTCAGGGGTCGACTGTGCTGGTCACAGGAATGACAGGAAGTGGCTGGGGGGAGAGCGATGAAGTTGGTGAATTTGCCAGCCTGGGGAAAACACACAGGGGGTGCGTGTACTTCTGAGGCTCGGGAGAGAGGGTCCAGTTAGAATGCAGATGTGGGTGTCTCTCCATCCCAGGGGACTGTCAGTGCAGGGGAGTGGGTAGGATGAAAGAGAAAGGAGAAGGGGTGAGACCAGAACTCAGGCCACCCCCAGTGACTAACCGGTCATCAGGTCAGCACTGCCGAGGTTGGGTACCGGGTTAGGGCCCTTGTCCCTCTCCTTTCATTGGATGCCAGGCCTCTCTTATGGCTTCATTTTCCTGTTTCCCACTGGGCCTGTTCCAAGCAGCCCACAACCCAGTTAGTGCTCTGTCTGGGTTGGACACCATTGAGTCACACACACACACCCCACCGGTATGCAAGCCTCTGGGAAGAGCTGTTCAGAGACTTTTCTGGAAGTCGTTGAATCTTTCCCCAGAAAAATCTGCCTACAGGAGACCTGGTTGATTTGACACACAATTTCAAAGGGCTGTCAATTTGTGATGTCCACTCTTAGGCACAGCTTAAGGAACTCCGCTCAAGGTCAGCTGTCTCCTTGAGAAAGGTCGAGCGTCAAGAGGGACTTGTTAGCTCAGGCTGGCCGGGGAGCTATCTCTGCCCCTTTCAGTTTCCCAGAGGTGGGTCTTCCCGTATGCGCTGCTTGATGACTCTTGTCAGTAATTATGAGTGCCACACTCTTGAAATCATTTGCAACCCCTCCTCTTTTTTTCGGAAGAGACAGTCCAAAGGTGATAAAGAGAGGGACTGGTGACAGCCTGGGGTCCAAGACTGAGATGGCCCTGGGGGCCACCCCAGCCACCCGTTGCTTGGCCAGCCACTTCATGACACCCTCCATCCCTGAACAGTTCATAGTACAAATTTATTTATGCATGTATTTATACAGAATACAAACGGTCGGGGACGCCTCCGCCCCCTTAACCAACCAGCGCCCAGACCCAGAAGGTCCTGCCCCAGGAGTCCGAGGTGAGTTCTCAGGAGGCGGGTTCTTGGCCAGACGAAAGAGGCGGGGCCGGGGCCGGAGGCGCGGTCAGAGCTGGGCGTGGCTTCCGGCCACGGGGCGGAGTCGGGACGTGGCCTGCAGCCCGGGGTTGGGGGGCCGCTCTCCGCTGGGGGCAGTGGGAGGGGAATGGGGTCCACTGGCGTCCTACACGTAAGCGTTCTTCCCGTACTTGCCAAAGGTGCTGTCGCCTTCGTCCGAGGCCGCGGGGCGCAGGCGGCCAGTGAGGCCGGGGGACCGCACCGCGGAGGCCTCGTAGGGGAGCCTGGTTCAGAGAGGCCTGGGTCAGCGGAGGGGAGCCCCCCCACCCCGCCCTCCCCGCCGCCGCTGCCGCCGCCGCACGCCGCCCTTACCTGGGGGCCGGGGCCGCGTCGGGAGAGTGGCAGCAGCCGGAGCCGAGGCAGAAGCCGCCCAGGATGGCGAGCAGGGAGGCGCTCCAGCCCAGGTAGAGGGCAGGGCCCAGCTCGTACCTGGGGACAGGAACGGGGCGGGCAGCGCTAGCTCGGCCGGCCGAGTCCCACCCACAGCCCCCCAGGGCGGGGCTCCCACACTCACTTGGTCCCTGCATACACGGGGTCGAAAAATTCCTGGGTGATGTTGAAGGCGTACCAGGAGATGGCCACCATCCCGCAGAAACCTGGGGAGGGAGAGGAGGGTCACGCTGGAGCCCCAGGCCCGGCAGAGGGGGAGGAGGAGGGGGTAGCGCAAGTCCAAGAGCAAGTTGCACTCCCTCCCTAGCTCCTGACCTTTCTGTCTCCTAGGGTCCCAAGCGCAGCCCCTCTTTCATGTCTAGTCTCCCACGTTCTGCCCTTGGCCCGTTCTTTATCGCGACCCGCCCCGCATCTTGATCACCTAGTTGCCTCACTCGGAATCTGCCCCAACCAAATCCTACCCGTCCTGGGAAATCCAGCTGCCCCAGCAATGGTCCGGCGCAGCCTGCCCTGACGCCGTTCCTTCGGCCTCCCAAAGCCCCCAGAGCCTGTGCCATGCCTTTGCCACTCAGTGCAGTGAAGGCCTGAGGCCAGGGAGACCCCTGGACTGCAGGACCAGCCTCACCCCTCTCTGGGGGCTCCTCCAGTAAGTCACCGGAGTTTTCTGAGCCTGTTTCCGCATCTAGAGAAGAGGGCAAGACCCACCCTACCTCACAAACTGAAAAGAGATGGCCTGTCGCCCGGTGTTGTTACTGTGTGCAGTGGGTTTGCATGCTTTCCCCCAACTCTGGTCTTCCTGGCCGGGCTGTAAGCTCTGCCGGGCGAGGGGGGGGGCAGACGCTCACTCACCTTTGGGGTCCCTCTCACACCTCACTCATGCCTGGCTCCTAGTGGGGGCTCAAGAAACATTGCTGATGGACTGATCTGTAGCTGAGGGATTTTGGTGAGCATGAGTGAGGCTGGGTGAGCAGGGGGAGGGGAATTGCTGAGCAGGGAGGGCAGGTGTCAGTGCAATGGGGAAGGTGAGACACACACTGGCAGTGGCGAGCTGGAGAGGACAGGGAACCCCGGGTCCGCTGCCACCACCCTCAACCCCCCCCCACAACGCAGGGCACACCCACCCCCTTCCCCCAATTACCAGCCAATATGTGGAGGGCCCCCGCAGCGGCCGCCAGCTTGGCCTTCCGGGAGAGCTCCATGCTCCCAATGTTTACGCAGCGCAGCCCCACCATGCCTAGGAAGAGGCCCAGGAAGCCCAGGAAGATGGCGGTGATCATGAGCGCCCGGCAGGCCTGGATGTACCCTGGGGAGGTGGGGCGCAGCCATGGGTCCCTCAGCTGGCCCCTTTCCCCTCCACGACCGAGCCAGCCCCTTACAGCCAGTCCCTGCTCGGGTCTCAGCGCATAAAGGCCCTCAAGTCCTCTCCTTCCCCGTCAGGCCCTATTCGACTGAAGGGTCAGACAGTCTCCTTCCCAGGAGCTCACCTCAGCCCCAAGGGGTCTCAGCGTCTGCTCCCCGCCCCCCGCCTGGCTTCCGTGGGCTTCGCGACAGGCTCGCTCCTGGCACTGCTGACACTGGCCGGAGCGTGCTCTGTCCTGGGGGCCGCCCTGTGCACTGCGGGCTGTTCAGCGGCATCGCTGGCCTCTACTCGTTAGATGTCGGTAGCAATCCGTCCCAAGAGGGACAAGCAACATGTCTAGACACTATCAAATGATCCCTGAGGGACAAAATCACCCCAGCTGAGAACCACTGGCCTGTTAGGTCCCCACCACGCTCTGTTGTGAATTACAGAAATTGCACTTGAGTACTCCAGCCCCTTCCCCGCGCCTGCTTCTCTCTAGGTCCCACCTGGTGCCTGGCACAGCCCTAGTCATCCTGAACTGAGCTTTCTCCCGACGCGACCGGTAGGGGGCAGCAGCGGCCTATAGGTCACTGGACGAGGGCCGTTTCCGCCGGCGGGGGGGGGAAAGTGGGATTCCCCGGGCGCAGGACCCATCCAAGCCCATCTAGCTCAGTTATGTTTGGTGCCTCAGTTTCCCCTTTCTGAAAGCTGAAGGAAACGGCCCCCTTCCTTCCTGGTCCCTCCTCCCCCCTTCTCTGTGATAGTTGCCAAGCACTCCAAGGACCTTGCTCCCCTTTCCCTGGGTGGGGCAGTGTCTCTGGTGCTGAAGCAAAGGCTGGGTCTCTGCCAGGAGGTTGTGGAGTGGCCCGGGGTTGGCAGGTAGGGAGGAGGGACAAAGTTCTCACTCCCAGCCACTCCCTCTGGAGTTCCCACCCTCTCCCCTGCCCCGTATCCTCTACGCACCCATTCACCATGCATTTCTACCTGGGACTTGCCTGGCCCTGGGTCCCCAGGTGGCCGTGGTAGACCAAGGGGAGATTACTGATGGGCCCCGAGGGAGCGCGGGCTGGGCGGGATTAAATGATAGGACCTCCCCTCGGGACCCACCAGCCTGGGTTCCAGCCCCCCTACCACCTGTGGGACTCTGGGCAGGTTAACGCTTGTCCTTGGGGCTTCCCAGCTTTGGTATGAGGAGGCCACTAACAGGCTGCATGGAGACAGCGCTGAGAGGGAACAGCTGAAGAGCCGAGAACCATGTCTGGGGCCCGGATGACGCCCAGCGCTGGGCAGCGGCCCCCTGCCCTTCCCCACCAGCATGCTCTTGCCCCTCCGTCAGCAGTTCCAAGCAGGGCCCTTCTCGGGGCGGACAGGCTCACAGCAAAGGCCCCTCCTCAAGCCACGGTATGGTTGGGGTGGGGGAGGTGGGAATGGCCGTGGCTGCTGAGTCGGCTGCCTCCAACGTCTCTTCAGGCCACCGGCATCCTGGGCTTCTGGCCCAGAGGGTACTCAGCTTTTATAGGGAGCTTTGGGGGTTGGGGGGCACTTGCCTTGCACACAGTAAGTCCTGGGGAGAGGGATGAAAGCATGAAGCCCCTACTGCTGTCTGAGAAGATTCTGGGAAGAGTGGGGGCACGGAGACCCACCCAGATCCCCTAACTTCTCAGAGCATCTTTGGCATTCCTGGAGGATTTCGTGGAGCCCTGTTCCAAACCCAGTGTCAGCTTTAGTTCTGTCCACTACCCTGCACCTGCAGTAGGGGACCGGAAAGAGCACGATGGCTCCAAGGAGGGCGTGGGAGCAACACTGCATAGGGTACCTGGTCCTCCCCTCTTGGTCTCTGGCATGGGGCCGACTGAGGGGAGACTCCCCTGGGGAGTCCCGGGGGGGCTACTCATAGGGTGAACAGGAAGCAGGAAGATGCGACAGCCACCAGGGAGAACCTTTCTGGGCCGAAAGAGCTGTAGGCTCCAGCCTGCGAAGAACTTCGAAAAATACACTGCCTGAGAATGCCGAGCACACACACACACGCGCGCACGTGCGCGCATACAGCCCCTACCTGCTTCCAGACCCTCAGAGCTTCGGGGAGACTCCCTTTCAAAGGGCCCTTTAGAACTCGCCATGGCAGTGGGACCGATGCCCCAGGAGCCTGAGGCTTGTACGTGTCTCAACCCCGAGAACCCAAGATGGGGCATCCTCTTCACCCCATGAACCCCAGCCCTCCCACGCCAGAGCTAAGATGCTGAAATTGGTTGTGTGCAGACATCCGCTAACGTACCACGTTGACATCCTGTGTGCTTTATCGCAGCACATGGCCATCCCATGGCCATCCCACGAGCCAGGGCGATTATTACCCTGATCCTACAGATGGGATCAATGAAGCTCACATATCACCTGCCTGGGGCACAGAGCCAGTAAACAGAGCCCAGCAGGCAGACCCTGGTGCCTGCACTTGTAACCGCGAGGAGTGTCACATTAGGGCAGGGGGACACGTGGGACGAGGTCTCTACCGCAGTTCCAGGAAGGGCGCTGCCCCCCCCCCCCCAGCTTGATCCAGGCCTCCCTTGACAGTCTGGCACCCAAGGCCCGACCATGGGCAGCACCCACCCTCCCTGGGGGTCTCTCCCTCCTCCAGCCTCCTGCCACCCTCTGCCCCCTGGAGCTCTCCCCACCCCATACCAGAGAGGGCCAGCAAGGACGGGAACTCCCGGCAGTTGTAGACTCCCATGGAGTCGGTGGCACAGCTAAACCAGAGGTTCTCGAAGATGGTATTGGTGGTGATGACGTTCCCGTGCACGGTGGACACTCGCCAGTAGCTGTGTGGCAGGGTCACCCCCAGCATCAGCAGCCCCAGCGCTGCCATGAAGAAGCCGAAGGTCTCCACGGCCACTGACATGGTGGGATGCAGGGCCCCGAGGGGCGCCGGGGGCCCCAGAGAAGGGGAGGGGCTGAGCCCCGCAAGAACTTGAGGGGTTTTGGCTAAGTTGGGATGTTAAGGCAGGCTGGGGAGAGAGGAAGGGGGGCCAGCTGCTGTGTGGACCCAGGTCTGTCTCCCGGTTTCTGTCGTCAGCCCTCTCTCTCTGGGTCTCTGCTTCCCGGAAGGTCCGGGCAGAGGAATGAGCCTAGAGCACTGGGCAGCTGTTGGCGAAGAGATGGAGGGAATAAAAGAAACAGGCCAAAAGTCCACCCCCTCCCCCAGCCTCTGGGCTCCCCGCCCCAGGAGGGGGGCGGAGAGGACTTATGGGAGTGACGAACGAACAAACGGATACAGCCAAGGAGGGGCCCCCATGGAAGGCAGTGGGAGCCAAGGGGAAGCGTCTCTGACTCAGCCTTCATCGGGGGCCAGAGAATGGAATAAGAGGACAAGGAGAGAGAAGGTGACCGAGAGAGTGCGCACAGACAGACCTTTGGTGTGGCAGGATCCGGGAAGCAGAGCCACTCTCCTGGATGTTGGTGAGAACAATTTAAAAGACGCAAAAGACCTAGGGTTTGGGCCAAATCTTCCAAGGAAAATTAAGGTTGAATAAGGGAACAGGCTATTTGGGAGAAACCCACTGCTCTGGAGTCCATCCAACCTGGATTCAAACCAGACCCAGTATTTACCAGAGCCACGCAGGCATGAAGTTTGAGCCCCATGAGCTTGTTTCTGTTTCTGTGAACTAGAACTAGCTTCCTCACCTCATGGGTTGTATTAAGACCTGTGACCCCAAGATCAAAAGCTCCCCACAAGTGTGACCTGCTCCCTCCTTGGTGACCACCCTGGGTCTGGATACCACAGGCTGGGGTGAGGCCACCAATTGCTTTCCTCCAAACTTCAACTTCCTGAACTTGAATTTCCCCCCTTGTCAGATTGATCTTTGATTCTCAGCACCAAGCTTGATCTTGCTGCCAAGGGCCACTGAGGGGGATAAATTACAGGCCCAGAATGTGATCCTGTGGCTAATCAGCCATCAGAACTGTCACCAGCTCTATTAATTATGACAGATTAGAAACATCCGGGTCCCCAGCCCAAGCCGAAGGCGAGCACCTGCTGAGCACCTGTCCTGCTGTGGATGGTACCATTTCTTGCCCCTAGGCCACAGCCAGGACAGCTCTGGTTCTCATCCTGCAAATGCAGCAGGGGCTCAGTCTCCAGGGGACAGGGGCTGGATGCTACCCCCAGGCAGTCTCACAGGATATCACTGAGCCGAGTGTATCCCCCCACTACCCCTCCCACCCGCCCCGGTGTCAGGCTTCCTTGCGCTCCCCTCAGGTGCCTCCTCCCCAATCCCCCCAAGCCAGGCTGGCTTGGCTGTGGAACGAGAGGTATGCAGTGAAGCAAGACAGGCCCATGCTGAGCCTGGCACGGGGCGGGTGTGGGGCAAAGCAGGCTGGGTGGGGACTGGGTCCTGACCTTCCATCTCTGAGCTGACAACCGGGATGTCCTGAGTTTGTAACTTTTCTCAAGAACTCTTGCCAAATGCCCATTCCTGCCCCTGGGCAGTGGCCCCTTCTCTAAGGAGGATGACGGGGCGGGGCGGTGGGGGGGGGGAATGTAGGAAGACAAAGGGAGGGAAGGGCGGAGGTTTTAGAGGAAACTGAGTGGGGGGCCCCCTGGTGTGGAAAACTCCACGTGCTGAGAGGCAGCTGTGTGGGTCAGAGGAGACAGGAGACATAAATCCTGGCCTGTCCCCTCAGCTCTGCCCTTCCCGCCTCCAGTCACTGCTTTCTCCCAGGATTCTTGCGCCATGCAAAGGCCTTGTCCCCGTCCCCTGTCCCCGTTCTGCCTACCACTGCTCAAGCACACAGCTTTGGAGGGGGAGGAAGGAAGGGCGTGGGGTCTGGGCAGCTTGGCGGACAAAGGCAAACCCCACACCAGCCACGGGGGGTTGGAGTAAGAAGGTGAGCAGGAAAGGACCACGAGTGACCCCCACCTTGGGGCCCAATGGAGCCCGCCCCTTCCTCAACACGGACACAGCAGTTCCCAAGCCAAGGCCCAGTTTTATTTACACTCATCCGGAGCACATGGTTTGGGGCTACTGGACACGTCTCTGGGGAAAGGAGGCTGAATGCCAGAGGGCAGTGATGGGGTGCAGAAGAAAGAGCAAGGATGGATGGGTCCTCCCTCTTCGAGTGTCCTCCATAGGCTCCCACGTATCCCTGGGCAGAGGCGGAGGTGCAGTCTCATTCAGGATTTGGACTTGGACACAGCAAGTCCGATGAGTCCAGCCAGACCCGCCACGCCCAGGGCCATGCCTCCAACAATGGCCATGCCCACTAGTCCATCTGGGAAAGAGAAAAGGGAGACTGTCAGGAGCCCAGCCCCCACAGGGACCCTGCCCACCATCTTCTTTCTCCCTGCCCGATGCTCCTCAAAGACGTGCCTCTTCCCCTGGAGTCATGAGGTGAGGGATTCCAAGGCTTGGAGAAAAAAGGCTTCTGAGGGGCTGAGGAGGAATTGCTTGGGGGGGGTGGGTAGGGGGGCATTTAAAGGGAGACCAGAGAGCCCAGGCCTGGGGGAAGGAAGAGGACTTAACCAAAAAAAGCCGAGAGACGCCCAGGGATGCTGGGGCCCAGGAGAGTGGGGAGTGGAGGAGGTCAGAGAAGAAGAGTTCACCTTTCTTCATGGCCTTGTCAATGAGCCGTTCCAGTTCCTTGGCCTGGTTGTTCTGGGGCTCAGTCTGCAGCAGGCCCCGCACATACTTTAATGCCTTCTCATATTCCTGCACTCAGGGAAAACATCCCCCACACACACACCCTCAGTATTCTGTCATTCCTCCTGCCCATCAGAGGGGCCTTCCCTTCACTGGCCCTGGGGGCTCCTCCCTCTCCCTCCACCGCCCCTCCTCCTCCCTGACTCCAGCCCCACCCCATGGAGTAGAGTCCACAAACCACCCCAACTGTGTGGGGGTGATAAGCTGGGGGAAATAACCCAAGGCTTGGGGCTGCACTCCCACCTGAGGTCACCTTGCTCCCCACACCCTCGGCAGCTGGAATCTCTGTCTCTCGTCTTCCCTCAGCCTGCTATCTATCACCTTGCACCTCTGTCTCCTGCCTACAGCCCTCCTCGGCCTTCCCGAGGCCCAGGGCTCCCCCGTGGCGGAGAAATGAGAGGGCGCTGCGGCACCTCTGCCTTACCTTGAGCCGGTAGTTCCCCACAGCCAGGTAGAAGACATAATCCCGCTGCTCCTCTTTGCTCCCTTTGGGCAGCAGCTCTGGGGAGGGTGGAGGAAAGAGGGTGAAAACCGCTTCTCTCCTTTCCTAGTGCTTGTGCCCCAGAGACCCGTCCACTCTCTGAACCCCTGTATGATCCTGGGAGAAAGTCACTGTCCTGTGCTTCCCTTTCAGCTCCGGCCACTCGTGGCTTCCCCGTCAGACCTCCGGGGCAGCACGGACCCAGGCTGCCGGACACCCGGGTGATCAACACCCTGGTCTCCATGCTGCAGTCAGCTCTGGCTCATCTAAGTGAACCGACAGGAAATCAAGGCGCTGGAGAAGCCAAAGGCAGCTCTCCTCACTTCTAGCACCGCGTATTCTCACTGCGGTCACTTGCTGCCCAGACTAGCATTCAAGTAAGTGTGCCCTCTCTCCCCCTTAAAAAAAAATCAGCTCGAAGCTCATCTTCTGTGAGCATTCCCTGAGTGACATGACCTGATTCTTTCTTAATTCAGTGACTTCCCAGAGGCTTATGTGCTCGGTTGTATGCTATGCAGTAGAATTTGGTAGTTTTGCGGGTGTTTATCAATCTGCCCAAGTGTCTGTTCTGTCTCCTCAACTAGAACTGGCAATGCTTAGAGACCCCATCTACAGCTGTGCCCAGCTGTAGAGGAAACCTGAGAAATCTGAATGAGCCAAATGGCAAATGTAGGGTGAAGTTATTTGCATTAGAAAATACTTTTGTTTTTATAGATTTACAATGGCCATCCTTTGCTAGTACGCTGTTTGCGTACACATGATTACTTGACCAAGAGAAACGGGTACAGGAGACAGAAATATTTAAAGGTCAGGTATTGTGGCCTCTGACAAATGGTGACCCATCCAAAACCAATAGGAAATAGGATTCCAATCAAAACAGCGCCATCTACTCCCAGGTCTGGGGGCCTGTCTTCTGTACTTCTTCCACACCACCCTCATGGAAGGTTTTCAACAGCTGCTGAATAAGCAACATGGTGGGGGCGAAGAGCAAGGGTCTGGGACACACAGGACAGAAGCTTCTAGTCCTAATTCAGCCACGAATTCATTAGCTGTGTGACCTCAGACAAGTCACTCTCCTTATGGTCAGGCTACCAGATTGCCAGAGTCCTGCGGGGACTGCCGTGCTCGGACTCTGGCTGGCTAAACAAGGATGAGGTGGTAATTAGCCAAAAGCACCCTGGGAGAAGCCAGGCTAAGGGGCAGCCCTTTGTCGCAGCTCTTTACAGGAAAATAACTGCGAGGTGACTATTATAGGCTCCCATGTTGAAAAAGGATCCCAGCACGTGAGGTGGAGGGAGTGAACGAGGCCATGGCAGTAGAGGGCAGATCCGGCTGGCAGCTGGGAAGGGGAGAGCGGGGCAGCCTAGCTCCTCACCCTCCAGCAGGGCGATGCCTTTCCGGATGTCATCGTTGTACTTGCTTCGCACCAGGCACCAGGCATACTCAAACTGCGTGCTCTTGGACACGGAGCCTGCTGCCTTCTCAGACTGAAATTTCTTTTCAAACTTCTGCCAGAGGAGAGGAGAGGAGAGGAGTCATTTAGAAACGAAGGGGCCCGCCATTCTCTAGCAGGACCTGCGTGTCCAATTCCCAGTTAGCCCCATCTTCCCCAGTCTCTGCCACATTTCCCTCGCGGGTCTTGGCATCCGGCACCCCAGGTTCCGCTAGCTTCATCCCTGGGACCCAGACCCAGGGATTCTGCTTCTTAGCGAGGGTCTGTCTCCTTGGACGGTAACCCCCGTCCGCTTCCCTCCCCCTAGTGGTACCGAGCGGAGATGCCGCCTGCTGGCGGCTCCAGGCACTGCTCCCGAGGCCGCTGACCCCCAGTGGCTAAACAGTAAACACGCTGTCAGAACTGCTCAGCCACCACCCCCGCAGTCCCTCGTCGGTGGCTGCTTCCCCCAACCAGCCCCACCCTGTCGGGCCTGGACCTTTTCTTATGTGCAAATTGGGAATAAAAACAGTCCTCACAGTGCCCACAAGAGCCCACAGAGCTACAAAGATTGAGGTATGGCCTGCAATGCACTTAGCACCGTTCCGGATTCTGTGAGTAATATATGAAAGAATCTTCATGGTAGTTGCTATATTCCCCCCGCCATCACTGAAGGAACAATTAAAAACAATTAAAAAAAAAAAAATGTGTCCGCACCCTGACCTCCTAACTCCTGCACGCGCCCAGAACCTGTCAGTCTTTCTACGCCAGACTGCAGGCCCCGAGTGTGGGGCGTGGCGGCGCAGAAAACTACAATTCCCATTAGGCTACCGGACAAAGTAGAACCTCTGGGCAGGGGCCGGACGCTGCAGAGGATGCCGGGAGCCGTAGTTCCGCTTCCCTAGGCAAAACTGATGCTGGGTAGAGGGTCTGGCCCCAACCGGACTCTCCTCGGGACCCGCCCGTCCGAATAGTCCCTTTCCCTCCCTCGAGGCCAGGCCTCACCAGCAGGTCTTCCACAGACACCAGCTCGTTCAGTACGGCCTCCATGGCCGCCGCCCCTGCAATCCTCACACCTAGGTCGCTACTGTGCCACCGTCTCCATGGCCTACTGGCAGGGCTGGAGAGCCACTTCCGTCGTCCGGCGGAAGCGGGCCCCTTCCCCATCGCAGAGCCAATCACCTTACACAGCTGACGCCGAGCCCGCCCCTCTCCGCCGGTGGCGCCCCGCCCCTTCTCTGCGCCGCCAGCGCACACGTTGGGGCTCTAATGCGCACGCTCCGAACGGTCCCTCTTTCACCCCCTCCACCTGCGGACCTCTCACAGTACAACTCGATGTCCCATGTTCGTCTTCGCGAGTGCCCCGCGTGTGCCTTCCTCCACCGAGGCTGCCTTAATAGAGTTTGGACCTATGTCTTGGTGGTTAGCCCTTGGGCTGAAAAACTGAAGAAGGAGGATGGTGGAGGACCCGCCATGATCTTAAAATTAGGGGGGGACCAGTCTAAACCTACCTCCCCTCTGGCCCCACCCCCTCTAAGTCTAGGAAACCGGAGGCTACGTTACCTTTCGGTGCCTGTAACAAAATCATAACCGGTACCAAGGTTTTTAGGGCCTCTGCTGACTTACAAGAGGATTGACAACGGGACCACTTAACCATTCACCCAGAGACTGGGATACATACGAATAGAGGATACTATGGAAATCTTTAAATGGGAATTTAAAGAAAAGCTGTTACCCCATTACTTGCAGAAAGGGTCCAATCTTTTAATGCTTAGATAAAGCCTCCTCTGGGTGTTCCTGAGGGGTAAGATCTGCCGTGGGTCGTGGGCAGCGAGGAGCTGTCAAAACATGGGAGAAGTAAATGTTCAGTCCTCTGGCACCTGGTCTGTGCAGTGATGGGACTGGGTAGGTAGTGACTTTCAAATTCTTTTCACCTTGACCCACAGTGCTCCAGTGCACATTACAATGTAAGTTCCATGAGGGTAGAACCTGGATCTTGTGTCTCTTTGCATCCCCAGCACCTGGCACTAGATCAATGTCCAATAAATATTTGTTGAATAGACATGAAATAAAGCGAACAATAGTAAAGAGGGCAGTGCAAATGCAGGGATTATCATCCAAAAACCTTTCATGTTTGCAAAGCCCCTTTAATTTTTTATTTTTTTTAATTCTCAGAATAGCCTTGTGAGTGAGGTAGGCAAGAGATAGTCTTCTCTACTTAGCTCCAACAGCTGAAATGACTTTGATAGGGGGAGTCTGTTAAAGAATAAAGAGGAGAGGATAGGACAAGTTCCTAAGTACATTCTAGCTATTCATCTTGAAACAATTCAGGCCTAAATTTGTAATTTTTTGCTGGTTTACAATAGAGGACTTCCCTTAAGCAGCAGGATGAGCTAGGGAGGAACAACTCAGGTTAATTTAAAGCCTAGAAGGCAAAGCAAAGCAATCCTGGGAAACCATTTGTTTCAAGTACAGCAGGAAAATTTAAAACGAAGGTAGTACAGTAGGAAAATTAAAAATGAAACCCCGCAAACTACCACGAGTGCTGCTGAAATTGTAATACTGGTTTCACCGTCTTAGCTAGCAGCCAGTATTTTTAATTCACGCCATTTGTCAGTTTGTAATTATACACTTGTGTGATAACTTGATGAATGCCACCCTCTCATACGAGACTGGAAGCTACATGAGAGCAGGGTCTGTGCTATATTGCTCATATTATGCCCCTAGAGCCCAGCTCAGGACCTACCACCAGTAGATTCTCATATAATTTATAACTGTTGCATAAAGAGATATTGTTGTTGCTATTATTAACTTTTTGGAAAGCAGTGAGGGAAAATGAGTAAGAGCTAAAAGATGTAATATTATCTGACTGGTACAATCTCCTGTGGAAGCATTCAACGAAAGCAAAAAAAAAAAAAAGGAAAAGCAAGACATGAAGACATTCATTCCTGCATTACCTGTGGAGGTAAACAAACAACAAAAGCGCCAGGGAATGGTTTTATTAAATGATGATACATGAATATAATGAAATAACAAACAACCTTAAAGTCACAGTCATATGGATTCTTTGCATGTGGACTGTAAGATTCAAAACAAAACAAAAAAGCAGGCACTTCTCAAATTTGGTTCTGTAAATGGGCAGAAAAGAAACTGACATTTTTGGTTGGTGGGACTAAGAACTAGAACTGGCACTTGTTAGCACATTCTGGGCCCTGGGCCCCTCCCTTGACTACACCGTTAGTTGCGAGCCTGCTCTGGTCTTTTGCCCTACAGCACCTTGTTGGTGGACAGCCCGGGAGAAGAGCTCGGCAAACACCCTCTAAACAAGGTTCCACTATTTGTGTTCTAGTCTTCGGCGATGCTCACCTCTACCTCCCACTTTCATTTGCTATCCAATCAGGAAGTCCTATCCATCGCAAACTGACTCATTCATCCACCCAACAAACATTAGTTCTGGGCCTACTGTGTGCCAGGCACTCTTCGGAGTGCTAGGCAAGAGAAATGAACTAAACAGACACAGTCCTTCTCTCATGCAAATTACCTCAATGGAAGAAACAAGACTGCTAACGAATAAGTGAATGTCAGGCCACCCCCGTCTCCATTCTGTCACCATACTTCATACGTACGTCAGATTTTTTTCCCCCTCTTCCAAACCCAGCCTGGCTGCCAGTTGTATTTTAAAGGTGCAACTCAGAGCTCCAATGTCCTGCTTAAAAATACCATCTGGGCTACGCAGAACATTGTTTAAATGTCTTCTCACGCCCACGAAGCCCTTCAGGGTCGCCCCTGCTTACCTTCCCAGCTTCATCTTCAGGCACCCTCAATCCTGCACGGCGAGACGTTTTCCTGGCAGCCGCCTTTCTTCCACCCGGAATGCTCTCCATTCACCAAACACCGGAGCGCCTACAGGGCAGGCGACTGCCAGCCCCGGGGGCCGTTCCCCCT